ACGGGAGTAGAAAGCCTCATCTTTCTCCCGCGGAGCAGCTGGTAGTTTCGAACCGCTGACCTTAAGGTTCGCAGCCCGATTCGTAACCACTACGCTACCAGAGCTCCTTAGCACAACAGAAATGCAAATGAATAGAAAAATCCATAAACAAAAATGAACTCAACATATAAAATTATGTGACACAAAGAATCTAGCAGCACCACAAAAAACTCCCAGAAAAATGTCAATTCATACCTCTTGATGATTACACTGAATGTAAATGGATTAAATGTACCAGTCAAAAGACATAAAGAGCAGAATGGATAAAAAAAAAAAAAAAACAGGCTCCTTCAATATGCTGTCTACAAGAGACGTGTTAAAAAGATGGAGACAGGCTAAATGCCCATCAACAGAAGAATGGTTAAATAAAATGGTATATACACACAATGAAATACTAAAAACCATTGAAGAAGCATAATGAACCTGAAATACCTCACAGCATGGTTGGACCTGGAGGACATTATACTGAGTGAATAGTTAATCACAAAAGGACAAACACTGTTTGAGACCAATATTGTAAAAAGGTTTTTTTAGAAAATGTTTTCTTGATAAAAGCAGCAGTCTCTGATGGTTTGGGGGCATTGTTTTGCTGTTGTTGTTAGGTGCCATCAAGACAGTACTGACTCATAGTGAGCCTATTCACAACAGAATGAATCACTGCCTGGTCCTGCGTCACACTCAAAACCATTGCTACGTTGAACCCATTGCTGCTGCCACTGTGCCAATCCATCTCATTGGGGGTCTTCCTCTTTCTCTGACCATCCACTTTACCAACATGATATCCTTTTTAAGGGTCTGGTCCCTTCTGATAATATATCCAAAAGTATGAGAGGTGAAGTCTCGCCATCCTGCTTCCAAGGAGCATTCTGGCTGCACTTCTTCCAACACACATTTGTTTGTTCTTTTGGCAGTCCATGGTACTTTCAACATTCTCTTTCGACACCATAACTCAAATGCATCAATTCTTTTACGGTCTTCTTAAACCACTGTCCAACTTTCACATGCATATGAGGTTATTGAAAATATTGTATCTTGGGTCAGGAGTACCTTAGTCCTCAAACTGACATCTTTGCTCTTGAACACTTTAAAGAGGTCTTGTGCAGAGATTTGCCTAATGCAATATTTCATTTCATTTCTTGACTTCTGCTTCCAAGACTTGATGGCTGAATGAAGTCTTTGACAACTTCAGTCTTTTCTCCATTTATATGGATGTTGTTTATTGGTCCAGTGGAGAGGATTTGTGTTTTCTTTACATTGAGGTGCAATCCATACCAAAGGCTTTTATCTTCATCAGTAAGTATTGTAAGCCCTCTTCACTTTTAGCAAGCAAGGTTGTATCATCTGCGTATTGCAGGTTGGTAATGAGTCTTCCTCCAATCCTGATGCCACATTTTTCTTCATAGAATCCAGCTTCTTGGATTATTTGCTCATCATAGAAACTGAATAAATATGGTGAATTGGGAGGTTAGGAAGAGGGAAATTAGTCACAAGCTACAAGGTAGACAAGTGCTGATATGGTTGACAGGACACGCAATATATAACAAGAGGGAGGTTAGCAGAAGAAAGATGAAGATAGCAGAAGACACAGGGAGGAATGCAATAGCTAAAGTGAATACAGGTAAATAATAGCTAAAGTGAATACAGGTAAATACTATTATTTTTTGGTACATGGAGGGGATTGCAGCCAGGTAATGAAGCAAAGTATAGGATTTGTTGAATGTGAAACTGATGATTTGCTCTGTAAACCTTCACTCAATTCACAATAAAAAGTTTTTAAAAGAAAAAGGGGAAATCAGTGATTCTTGCAAGTTTCTGGTTTGGATAAAGGCTCTCTGGTTGGTGTAGACCAGTATGTTACAGCTGCTGTGATGAATTCATTGGGCCTAACATGTAAAGTGTTAGGCCATGTAACGTGGAGTGGCAAGAAATCAAGCTGGAGAGGTTGACTGGGACCAGACCAAATTTAGCCGGTTGGCTACAATCGGAACTTGTGATTTTATTCTAGATGAAATGGAAAGTCATTGTGGAACTTTTTGTTGCCCCCACTTTAGTCTCAGGGAAGTCAATAAAATGGGTAATTCCTAAGGCCACTAACTATTATGGCTGGACAGGGCTCTGCACTGCACAAAGCCAGGGCCTGCCATTCACACAAGCCATGGATATATATGGCACCCATGAAGTTGTATAAAGCAGAGCACCCATCCTTGATATAGTATGTTAGGTGGTTCTCTAATTTGTTTGATATGAATTAATGTCTTATCACTTCAATAATAAATACACTTCAATAATAAATAAATTTGTTGTTAAGTGCTGTCAAGTCGGTTCCGACCCATAGCAATGCTCTAGAGCGTTTCCAAGGAGTGACTGGTGAGCTTGAACCGCCAACCTTGCAGTTCAAACCAACTATACAGTCTAGTGCATTAACCCACAGCACCACACCAGGACTCCAAATACATAATACTTACAGCTAAAAAAAATCCCATAATGTTTCTTAGATTTATAAAAGGAGACAATGGATCCACATGGTAATTGCAAAATAGAGTTCATTTTATTATATTCTTAAAAGAATAAGTCCATTTTCTCAATCTTCAGAAGACCACTGCAGAAGAGTCACAAAATACTAATCCTTACAAGCAGTAGTAGTTGTTGTTGTTGTTAAGTGCCACCGAGTTGGTTCCAACTCAGTGGCTGATGGATTTGAACCGTCAATATTGTGGTAAGCAGTCCAGTTCTTATCCTAAAGTGCCATACCAGGACTCCATAGATAGTAGTTGTTGTTAAGTGCCATCGAGTCAGTTCTGACTCACAGCAACACTATACAGGGTTTCCAAAGAGCGGCTGGTGTGCTTGAACTGCCGACCTTGTGGTTCAAATCAACCTTGCAGTCCAGCACACTAACCCACAGCCCCACACCAGGACTCCTAGAAGTAGTTAAAACCCCTCAAAACAGAAACACAAAAACTACATTTGATTCTAGTGAGTCCTGATGTTATGGCAACATGGGAGAGGACAGAAGAGGATGGCAGTCCTGGGTGGCCTTCCTACTGATGGTGACAGTGCCCCCCAATCAGGAGGCAGCCTGGTGTCAGAGTGCAGTAGAATAGGAGCTTAGGGAGACCCTCTGCATATGGCCTTTCAATCTAAAACACAGACGGTATCACCTTGTCTTCACTCATCAGGGACATAAACTATGTCTCCCCTAATGGCAGGACAATCTCACCATAGGCTGGGATTTCCCACGGTGGACAAGGCTAGCTTGATGAGATTAGCAGAGCCTGGGTGAGGTAGCCAGGTAGGCCACGCATCAGCCGGTGACCTTGGGCAAGCATCTTTTCAGCACTGCATCTCTGTGTCTTCATTTGTAAAGAGGGGTAATAGTACCTAGCTCACAGGTACTAGGAGATGGAAATCCAGAACACTTGGACTCAGTAGGAAGCCCGGTGCAGAACACTGGGGAACACAGATGAAGCAGACAACATTCCTACCACCTCACAGGGCTTCCTATGGGCGTTTCAGGAGAGATGAGAAGAATCACCTAGAAAGGTCTGGTCATATGGCAGGTATAGAAAGGGGGCAGCAGATAAGGAAGGGGCACAGAAGAGAGGGGTCATTTCAGGGTGGAGGGTGTTAGGTTGGCCTAGGCAGACAAAGCAGGCAATAGCATCTGCACATGCACAAAGGAGTACACAGGTCAGCATGGGGTACAGGGGCAGGAGGGAAGGCGCACTCTGCCTGGCACACAGGAAGTGCCAGCCAAGATGAGATGCCCATTTCCTCAGGGACAGGTTGCCCAGGATTCACCCCCTTTCCCTGCCAGACTTTTGCCTGGGTAGGCAAGCAACAGTGGCACCTCCTCTTAGCTTTGTCCTGGGGGTTACCATTATCGTCTGTGTCCAGATGGTCACAGCTCCCTAATCTGGGATAATCGTTGGTCCAAAGCTCAGCTGGGACAGGGGCCTTTGTGTTGGGCCAGCCCCAGCTGGAAAGACCCCACAGACAAGGCCCTGGGGCTTTGGAAGATGGGGGGTAGAACATGAGGCTGTCCTGGTGCTGGAGGGCGATGTGAGGAGCAGATGATAGCTCCTCTTCAAAAGGCAATCTGAGTGCAAATGAGGGGGAGCCCACAGCTGGGGTCTGGCAGGAGTCTGAGAGGCACGGGCACAGAGCATGAACAGCTACTGCTAGGTCTCAGCCACACAGAATCGGTGTCTGACATCTTTTGTTTGTTCCCTCTCTGAGCTCACCCCTCCTTTCCACACTTTTGTGTTGCTAGCCCTGGGGCCCCAGGCCTGAAACTTGCGGTGGGTTCTCAGAGACCCCATGGCTCTGCCTGTCTGCTTAACCTGCTGCTAGCCTCCATCCCTTGGCTGCTCACGGGTCACAACTCTTTGTCCTGTTTTGTTGTCACTTCTATTAGTGGGAGTCCCACCTTACCTACAGCAGTAAGCCTGGTTTGGGGCCCATGTTCCAATCCTTTTACCCTATGAAGGGAGTCCCTGGATAGCATAAACTGATATGTGTCCAGCTGCTAACTGCAAGGGTTGGCAGTTGGAGTCCATTCAGAGATGCATCAAAAGAAAGGCCTCGTGATGTTTTCAACAGATCACAGCCTTGACAATCCTATGTAGTGTAGTCCACTCGGTATACATGGAGTTGCTATGAGTCAGAATCCACTTGAAGGCACTGTTGGTTACCCTAGAGAGCCTGGCCCCAGAGTTCGGGCTTGGTTCCTCATCATTTTACAGTTTTGTCTTTCCCAGTCCTTAGACATTTATGAGCCTATGCCTATTTGGTTTTCTGTTTGATATTTATTATTAAGCTGTATAAAAAATAGACTCTTTGAAGACATGAAATAGTTCATGATTTTTCTAAATGCCCGCACTCTTGTGAAGGTGAAAAAGGGGATGCACGAAAGTTACTGTGTAAAGGATAAACGCAGGGAGCACATACTGGGGATTATTTCTCCAGGCAAAGCAAGCTTGAGCTGGAACACGGACCCAGCCTGTGAATGAGCCTTTATTTCTATAAAGAAAGGGACCATAAGTTAAGAGCTATTTACATGCAGGAGCCGTGAGGGGAGCACAGTGGTACACCTGAGCGTGCCCCCCGCCCAGCCTCCAGGCTCAAGCCATCCAAGTCTGAGTCACCTGCCCAGGCTCTGGACAATGGTGACACAGCCATGGGAGCTGGTGCAGCGCTGCAGGGATGGTTGGGCCTCCACCTGCCCACTGCTGGGGTCAAAGGTGAAGACCCTATCGGTGCTCTCCCCGCGGTCATCCCGCCCACCAAGGATGTGGAGCTTCCCATCACACACGGTCACGCCGCAGCTCTCCTGAATAGACAGACAGACAATCACCCATGGAGTCTACCTGGCCTCCCTCTGTACCTAGCTAGGCAGGCAAGATAACAGAACCTGGACCCATAGAATATGAGCAAGCAGTCCAGATGGCAGAAAGTGGATGGACCGAGTTTGAGCTCTCTAGGCCTCATGTGAGCAGTGAGAATAGTAGTACCTTCTTCCCCACACCTTCACAGCTAGTTGAGTTAGGCACATAAACCAATTCTATATAGCTTATGGAACAAGCACTTCAATAACAACACTAATAGAAATCACCCATCACCACCTTGGGATCAGCAAAGGTAAGAATTGGCAAGGACTTCCAGTCCAACCATGCCCCTCTATAATCTTCTTGGGGTTTCAGGGGACAGGGATAGAAAATAAGGGGGCAGAGAGTTGCAAGGAACAGAACTTCCAGAGCCTGGACCTTCCCTTTCTAACATTACTGGAGCAGGGGAACTCAGCTAGTCCCTTCCGCACCCTACCCTGAAGAATGGGCCACCAGCTGGTGGTCTCAGGGCAAGGAGAAACCACAGGGCCATTGAGCTCAAGCTCTAAAATGACAGGTTCTGCACTAGCATGGACTAATTGGTGACCTTGAACCAGAGTTTCAACTTTCTAAGGCCCACCTCCTCTTCAGTGATACGTAAAGTTTGTAATCACTGTGAAGATAAAAATGCCTCACCTGGCATCCGACACAAGACTTGCTCATGACCTCTAAGCTTCAGCCCCTCAGAAGTGTGCTTTCATGTTCCTGCACAGAACTACTGCCAGGGACCATGCCCAGGAGCCCCCACTTACCACAGGGTTGGGAAGAGCAGCTGCCTCATCCCAGACATCTGTGCCAGGGTTGTAGGTGAAGATTTTGCTCATGAGGCCCCCCACCACATAGATCGTGTCCTCGAGGGAGACAGCCTCAAGACACCGCTGTGAGAAGGGAGCTGGTGACCTCAGGCTCCATCGGTCTTCCTTGGGATCAAAGCATTGCACCTGAAGGGTGGGGGGAGCAACGGAAGTGTGAAGCTTCTTCTCTCAACCTACCCTGCAGCAGACACCCTCCCACCTCTCGCCGCTAGGGGCGCTCATTCAGAACGTTGGTCTGAGCAAGTGCCTGGGAAGGTGAAGGACACTCCCAATTCCTATCCTCAAACGCTCTCAGTCTACTTCCGCGTTCTACTCCCCTGCTCCTGGATGCCCTTTGTCAAAAGTCTCCTCATTTTTCAAGGTCTAACGTTTACCACCTGAATTCCTGGTGTGGTGCTGTAGGATCAGCACTGAGCTGCAAAAAGTATGACAGTTCAAACCCACCAGCTGCTCTTCGGAAACCCTATACAGGGTCTCTATGCGTCAGAACGGATTCAAGGGCATTTAATAACAACAGATGCTACCACCTCCTTAAAGCCTTCCCTGGGTCTCACCCTCACCACCCCCACCCCCGCCGCAGAAACAGTCTCTCCTTTTACAGAGAGACTGTAACTGTACCTCACCCTATGAGCACGCGTGATCAAGCCCGGAGAGGTGTGCGTCCCAGGGGATGGAAGAGGTCTCTGCATCAGTGTTATTGAGGGTGCTCAGAGCAGGCTTCCCAAGGAATTGCCTCCCTGGCTGTATACATGGTCAGCCCACCCTCTCTTCTCAGTGCTCGTGGATCATGACAAGCCTCTGGCTGAGGTTTCCCTACATCCTACAGCTGTCCACAGGCTTCGCCTGCCCCTGATGCCCTTCCCCGTGAATTTTCCAGGGCTCGCACCTGTACCTAGCTGCCTGCTCACTTGTCCACCCTGTTGCCTCAACTCTTTCCTCGGAGACCCCCCAAGACGACCTATAACAAACCAGTGGGGCAGAGAGTGTATATCAGTGAGGTCATCGAGCTATGGGGAAGGTCTGCTGAAGGAATAGGGCAGAGAGAAAAGTCAGGAGAGACAGGGATCCTGATTTGGGAAAAGTTCAGGTCCTGGAACCACAGACCTGTGAGACCATCCGGGGAGGCCTCACAGCTGCTGTGATGAAGACAGCAGTCTAACAGTCCAACAATGGCGAATGTGATGAGTAGTCTATGGTTCGTCCCTCGTGGGACATGACAGGGATACTGGAAGGATGGCAATGAAGCGTTCCGGTGCTTATACTTAAATGCGAAGCACATAAAGCAGAATGTAAAATTTTACTAATTGTAAGAATATAAGTATACAAATATATAGCAGAAAAGCCAAAATCAACTCAGAAGAAGCCTGGGAGAAAATGCACTACTAAAACTACTGGGATTATGAGCAAGTTTTTGGTTTTCTACTTGTATGTGTTTCCTAAACTTTCAACAGTGAATGCATTCTTTTTTGAATGTAGGATAAACATTTTAACTAATCCCATCCCTGCCCTCATTTAATTTTTACAATTATGAGGCTCTTGTGGCCTGGGGTTGTTTCCGCTGAGTCGAAACCGACCGACGGAGACCAGCTGCGCTGCTGACCCCCTGTGTGCCCTTAAAGCGCTCTCTAAACTCATTTCCTTGCTAGAAACATGGGACGCTGACGAGATTAAGTGAGCAAATGATCAGGGCGGAAAACGACAGTTCTGAACCCGGCGCGAAGCAGGCGCTACTGATATCCTGCAGCCTCCCAGCCCTCTCCGCCTGCCCCTGGGACTGCTACCTTGTTTGTGTTGACGCCGTCCTGGCGCGCACCCCCGATTACGTAGAGCTGGCCCGCGCAGGACGCCACCGCCGCCGAGCTCACCGCCTCCGGAAGGGGCGCGGCGGCCGTCCAGGTGTTGGAAAAAGGGTCGTATCGCTCCACGCTGCGCAGGCGCCTCAGGCCGTCAAAGCCGCCCACCACAAACAGCTACGGGAAAGACACGGAGTGCGGCATCAGGAGTTAGGGCCCCTATGAATTTCAGCCCCACTGCCGCAGTTTAGGGGCCAAGGAGATTGAAGGATGATCCCAGGACTGCTGGCGCCTAGACGACCTCCACTAAGTTAAGGAATTTACCTAAACCTGAGATCATGAGATCCAATGCGGAGTGGATCAGTAAAATACCTAGCACCAAGATTATGTTTGGTAACGTCAAAACCCAAACCGTCCTGGAGTCGATTCTGACTCATACCGATCCTATAGGGCAGGGTAGAACTGTCCCACATGGTTCCCAGGGTTGTAAATCTATTGGAAGCTGACTGTTTCATCTTTCTCCAAGTAGCGGGTGGGTTCCACCTCCCACCATTCAGTTAGCATTGAGGACTTCAGCCACTGTGCCACCGTGTTTCCTTAGGTTTAATAGTAATAGTAATTGGGTTAACCACCGCACTTCTCCGATTCTAAGAAGCTCTTTTATTTGTAGCACTAAGTTCCAGATTTTGTTTTACAAAGACAGTTGGTAAGCCCCGCCCCCCTATTTTCCTAAGTGGCAGTCAAGATTCAAACCCAGATTGTTTGGTCTTGAAGCGCACACCCCTGACCACAAAGCTGTATTATTACAGCAACTGCTGTCATTAGTAGTAGTATTAGATTATATGATCTTGGGTCAGTCTTTTCTTACAAAACGGGGTCTTAGAGAGCCTTCCCCCAGGACATCCGTAGCTTGGGCCCTAAGACAGCAGCTGCAGTGTCCCTACCTGGCCTTGAATAACCACCATCTTGTGTCTCCACCTGCCCTTGTGCAATGAGGCTACCTTGATCCAGGTATGCAGAGGGGAGCTAAACACCCACACGTCACGGCTGTTGATGTGGCCTCCTAGGGAGAGAAAGGCAGTTTTGCTCCCCAGACCCTGTTGCTAGCTCAGCCCCTACCAAAAGAGCTAGAAACATGGGCCCCAGAATCCAGGGGAGGGGTTATTGTAGACAGCAGGAGGGACTCCCCCTCTACCAGTATGACTTGAGGCAGAGAGCCCTCGGAAGGAGTGCGTAGGAGGTCTGGGATAGGACAACAGGCAGGGACTCTTGAGGGGAGAGCCCTGATGGGTTCTGGAAGGAGTGATCTTCAGCAGGTAACCTGAGGTGGTGTGCAAGCTTTGTGCTCAGGGCAGCAGACATGGACACTTAGAACCCTACTAAGGAGTGCAAGAGAAGAGTCAGGAATGTACTGAGGTCAGAGGAAAAGCAGAGCCACTGAATTTGGAACTGTGGGGGGGGTGGGGGGGGTGGGAGATAAAGGGTAACATGATAACCCACCTCTCTTACTTTTGCCCTTAAATTCCTGATTTCATTTATGTTCTCATTCTCGGAATCTCAGGGAGGGGAGAGTTTGTTCATATCAAACAGATCTGCATTCCTATCCTAGCTTTGCCATCAATGCGATGAAAAATAAATTACTTATTTTCAAATTTGTTTTCTCATGTGTATGAAGTAATACACTCTTCATTAGAGCTGTGGGGGGAATTAGAAGAGACAACGAATGCAAGCTGCTCAGCATAATGTCCAGCTACATGAAGAGAAGTGATTATTAATAATAATATGAATGGAAGCTGACATTGGGTAGAGTCAGACAGGTGATTGGCTCTGCTGAACCACCACTATACTATGTCCATTTCCATGCAGGCAGTTCCCATTCATATAGATATCTACCGTGTAAATATTTCCAGAAGCACAGTCTCATTTTCCTCCATTGGCGGGGCCCAGTGGGTTTGAACCGTCCACCTTGCTCCCCAAGGCCTAATCCACAGTGCCACTTGTAGTTGCTGTCGTTGTTAAACTCCCTCAAGCCGTTTCCAACTCATAGCCACCCTGTATATGGTTTCCGAGAAGCGGCTGATGAGTTTGAACTGCCGACCTTATGTTCAAACCGACTTTGCAGTCCAGTGCTTATCCTACAGCGCCACACCAGGACGCCAACATACAACATTATAATCAATACATGCAGTGTAGTGGTGGTGGTTATGTGCCGTAGAATCGGTTCCGACTCATAGCAACCCTGCATAGGGTTTCCGAGGCTGTAAATCTTTGTGGGAGCAGAAAGCCTCATCTTTCTTCCGTGGAACAGCTGGTAGCTTCAAACTGCTCATTTTGAGATGAGCAGCTCCACTCGTTTGCTACCGGAGCGCCTACATGTAGTACTTGTTGCTGTTAAGTGCCATCTAGTCGGTACCGACTCAGAGCGAGTAGTATCCCGATGGGAAAATATGCTAGCGATTGGAAAAAAAGGAACACATGTGGGCGGGTGTAGGGAGACTATAAACCAATCTCATGTGACTGCTACTGCGGGCCCCGCCCTCACCGGAGACGTAGACGTCATTGCGTAGAGTGCAGGCGGCGAACTCCGATCGCGTATAGCCGGGCAGGCTGGGCAGTGGGGTCCAGCGACGACTCTCTGGATGGTAGGCGTCGGCGAAGGGCAGCTTCAGGAGCCCCTTTCTGTCACAGCCGCCGATGATCACGATCATTTCTGCTAGGTCCATGAATCTGGTGTGGGGAATAAGCCCATGCCCGTTGATCCGCGCCCATGGTTTGCACCCCCTTAGCCCTCTTGCTCACCACACTGTTTGGTCCGGCTGCCATTCCATGCCCTTCTGCGGGCTCCTGGTAGGGGCTCTGTCACTTCATCATTGTTTTGACTACTGATGGGCCACTAATCTTCACCCCATTCTGGTGGTGGTGGTTGTGTGCCATGGAGTCGGTTCCGACTCAGCGACCCTGGTCTCATCTTTCTTCAGCTGGGCGGCTGGTAGATTTGAACTTCTGACCTTACAGTTTGCAGCCCAATTCTAATTCACTACAGTACCAGGGCTCCTTCACCACGTCCAGCTAATTTACAGGAAAAAATATTTTTAAAAATCAACTTTACAGAGCCCCAAAATCAAGGAGCTCTGGTAGTACAGTGGTTACGAATTCGGCTGCTAACCGCAAGGTCAGCAGTTTGAAACTACCAGCTGTTATGCTATGAGTCGGAACCGACTCCACGGCACATAGCAACAACAACCTAGAAAAATCACTTCCTTTAACACTTAACTACAGTTGTTTTGGAGTCCTGGTGTTGCGCTGTGGGTTAACGTGCTAGACTGCAAAGTCGATTTGAACTACAAAGTTGGCGGTTTAAGCTCACCAACCGCTCCTGGAAAACGCTATACAGGGTCGCTTTTTGTGTCGGAACCGACTCGACGGCACTTAACAACAACAGTTCTATTAGGTAGGGACTACTAGTGTGGTGTTGTGGGTTAATGCACTGGACTGCAAAGTCAGCGGTTCATGGTCATCAGCCACTCCTCGGAAACCCTATACAGCGTCGCTATGAATCGGAACCGACTCGACGGAGGAGCATCTTTGTGCTAGGCCTAGCACTTACTGTTGGAAAGAAACAGAGTGGTAAATCAGAGGGGTCCCTGGTTCCTGTTCCTGAGGGTGGGCTGTTGGTCTTGGACTACTACACCCAGTCTCCTGGTCTGGCATTTCAGAAGTAGGGTCAGGTCATTTCCACTCTCCTCTATCGTCAGTGCTTTCCGGTTTGCATCCTTTCGTTATCTCCCAGATGATAGCCGATATTTCCAAAGTACTCCCCTCTCCTAGGCACTCAGTTTGGGACCTGGCACAGTGTCAACACTCAGTAGTATGAAATGAATAGGTAAAAGCGTGAGTGAGTACAGATGGGCTAGAGACTGTGCGCAAAGTATGGAATCTTTGCATCTCATCACTTGACAGTTAACTCTCCAAGGGCAGAATTCCCAGCATCAAACCTATTTATTGTCTGTTGAATGAAGGGCTGAATCTCACTCAACAGGCCTATGAATGACTGATTGGATGAACGGATGATGAAGGAATGAATGAGTGGATGAAGAAGGGAGGATGGGAGGCAAGGGAGCGGCAGGCTGTACCTCCGCGGCCGGGCCCGTAGCGCGCCAGCTTCGCGGCCCAGGATGAAGCAGGCGCGGGCTTCCAGCAGCAGTGGTCGGCACTCTCTGCAAGCCTGCAGCAACTCATCGGCCTCCACCTTCTCTAGGAAGTAGTCAGGCGCCAGCAGAGGCAGGCGCACGTGCTCCAGGAGGCGCCGCAGCTGCCCCCGGCGGGTTGGCGCATCGTGGCGTACCCAGCGCATGGCCGCCTCGAACACTGCTTCCTCTCGGGCCACGCCCAGCGCCGGGTCTGCCAGCAGCGTCGCTACCTCATCCGGGGTCAGCTCTAGGAAGTCGGCGTGGCACGCCACCTCGACAAAGGCTTGGCGTAGAACGTGGCCGCAGCGCTCCGCCAGTGAGGCCAGAGAGAAGGCGGTGGCCACGCGGCGCAGCGCCAGACTGTTGGCAGCGCGCAGACGGCCCTCGAGGAAGCTCACGCAGGCCTCGCGCAGACCCGCCACGCCTAGCCGCTCGGACAGCGCCAGCACCTCGGCCGCCTCGTCCTCAGCGCGCAGCTGCACGCCCGCGCCGTATAAGTAGTCGAGCACTACGGCGAGCGCCGTGGCCGCTGCCGCCCCGGTCTGCCCCGCATCCAGCCTTGTGCGATGCCCCTCGGGCGCTACTGGTACCACGGGCACCATGGCCAGGCTGCGCTCCAGCCGACCAGCCTCAAACAGGCTTCGGAAGTAGGTGCTTCCCGCGCAGAGTGCGGCACGGTGGCACGGGAAGTCGCGACCGCCGGCGCGCAGCACCAAGTCGGTGAGGGTACCGCTCTGTCGGTAGGAATTGAGGGTCTGCAGGACGCGCTGCGCGTGGCAGGCACCAGGGCACTGGGCTTCGGAGCCCGGCTCTGACTCCTCCTGCCCAGAGGCCTCCAGCATCCTGCCAGGTAGAGAACATAAATAGCAAGGGGAAGTAGAGATTGCTGGGACCCACACACTTCATTCATTAAGTCGTTCGTTGCTTTGCCTACTCATCTGCTCATTGATGCATGTATGCTCGTATACATGTGTGTTTTCACTCCCCATACCTTTATGGTAGCAGAGTGGTTACGAATCGGGATGCTAACCTCAAGATCAGCAGTTCGAAACTACCAGCCATACTGCAGGAGACCGATGAGGCTTTCTGCTCCCGTGAAGATTTACAGCCTCGGAAACCCTGTACTGTACAGCGTCACTGTGAGTCGGAATCGCCTCCACGGTACTTCACAACAACAACATCTTTATGGTGGAGTACTGGTGTGGTGCCAGACTGCAAAGTCCTTTGAACTGCAATGTCGGCAGTTCAAGCTCACCAGCTGCTCTTTGGAAACCCTGTACAGGGTTGCTATGGGTCGGAACCTACTCGGTGGCACTTAACATCTTTATGGTGATAGTGGTGGTGGTAGTTTCCGAGGCTGTAAATCTTTATAGGAGCAGAAAGCCTCATCGTTTTCCCACGGAACGGTTGGTAGTTTTGAACTGCTGACCTTGAGGTTAGCAGCCCAACTCGTAACCACTGCGCTACCAGAGCTTTTTAGATTCCCTTATAGCCACAGCCATCTAGCCTCAACCTACCTACAGGGACTTCCCAATGTACCACTCTTTCCCTTGTTTATCCAATTCAGCTATACTGCCCCTTCTGTCATCGTTTTTTTTTATCCTTATCGGCAGGAAACGTGTGGCTCGCTCTCAGCTAGGGTGATTTGAGGAGAATCTAATAAAGGAACGATTTATAAAAGCATAGGCAATGTTTAGAGACTCCAACAAAGGAATAGAGCAGTATCTCGTGCCAAGCAGCAGGGAGCTTTCAAGGCCCCAGAGTCTGAAGGATGAGGGCAAGGAGACTACTGGAACCCGGACAGAATACATGTGTAGGAAGGGCCATCAGACAGGACCTATAGCCTTTGGGTTTCAGGTAACCCCCCAGGGACCTAAAGTGAGGGGATGATAACTCTACCTGTCTCTCCTCCTCCCACCCTGCCTTCTGCTGGGTTTTCTGTTGATACTTCCCATTGGCCAAACTTAAGCAAAAGAACCTGTCAGTGCAAGTCAACGGGCTCCACTCCCATCTCCTCATTCACAAAGCAAAGAAGAGAGGAGAGTGCATCTGGAGCAGCCAAATCACCCTAGTTGAGAGTGAACCATATGTTTCCTTTTCTGGACCTTCTTGGAGCTGCTTTCTTTGGTTTATTCCATTTAATATGCGCCCTCTCCCCCAACAGCAGGGGAGCTAGCCTACAGGTACTCAATTAGTACTTGTTCAGGTTGAATGGACTGTATAAACTAAGTGTTTATTGAAGGCCGTCTCTGTGCCAGGCAGTAAGCAAGACAGTCAGTCCCTGCTCTCCTGGAGCTAACAGCTGGACAGGGTTCCTATGGGGAAAGTACCCATTTTGGGGGTGGGTATCAGGAAAGGGGTCCCTGAGGAGGGGATCTTTAAATGCAGAAGAGAGGAATGAGTAGAATTAACCAGGTGAAGAGAAGGGAATGGAGGGAGGATGTGTCTAGGAGAGAGTAGTCTGCAAAACCCAAGAGGGTAGGAAGGCAGGAGGCTAGATCCTAAGTGAGAGGAATGTTGGTCCTCTCTCTAGTGGGAATTCTCAAGCCGGTAGAAAGAGTTCTGCTCTAAGACAGATCTAGGTTCGACCTCTACCACTGATTCACTGTGTTACCTGGGCCAGGGCAATCCCTACACCAGGCCTCAATTTCCAAAGCTTCCTTTAAAGGATTGCTGTGACTTTTAAGTTGAATGTATGAAAAGGGCTAGGTGCATAGCATAAATTCAGTAAATTTCTTTGCATTGTTTTTAATTCAAGAGAAAGGGTACATACCATGTGTACTAGTTGCCTTCATATATATAATTTCATTGGGCTCTCATACAACCCTGAGTTGTGTCTCTGGACACCTCACCTTTGGTTTGGTTTAGTTTATGTTTGTCATGAGGAAACAGGCACACAGAAGGAACCTGCATTTCAGAGGTTTGCTGTGAGGGCCAAAAGCGAGGGTAGGGGCTGTACTTTTGTGAAAGCACTCTGCAAAGAGAAGAGCTGTTCCTATGCTGATTATGATTTGGCCATTATAGAATACAGCCTCTGTTTGCACACCTTCTGTGACAGGGAGCTCACTCATTATATGACTTCTTAGGGAAAGCATGGTGGCTCTGCCCTCAGCCCCTTATTCTCCTACCTCCACCTGATGCCAGTTCTGCACTGGAGGTTGGCTTATATCCAGTGTCAGCTTAGCTTTCCTGGCTCATACCCAGGTCATCTTGGGCAGTCGGTCCCCTGCCTCAGCACTGCAGGGAGATAAACCTCATGGTGGGCAGGACTCTGACTAAGTTAGCTACCTTTCTCACGGGGCCACCATTTTGTCACACAAGTCAGACGGGTGGGCGTGTCCTAAGGAGCAGCCAAGTAGCAGGAGGGAGGTGAAGCAGTCACCAGGGCACGTTGGCTGTCCTGAGCTAACTGAGAAGGCAACCACGAGAGCTGAGACCTCAGGGGGCAGGTATCATCAGAGCAGGGAAAGAATTACCAGCACCACACTAAGAGTCAAGGACCTGCCTGGGGGCAGGGTGTGAGTCCCACGGGGACTTCTGCACGTCAGCGCAGTTGTGTGCTGCACTCGGTGTTGTACACACACGGAGACCTCAGACCCAATCTCTACCCAGGAGATTCCCAGTCTAGGATGGACATGCAATTGGAACATGTAAGGTAAGGATTTCCCAATCAGGACTCGCTCCGGCATTCTCCCAAACCTGCTGAGAGTCGAGGACCGAAAGAGGCACCTTGAGCCAAGGGTCCGGACGCAGACTCTAGGATCCAGTCCCTAGAAGTTGATTAGAACAACTATACACACCCACTCACACAAAATCCCTTTAGTGAATCCCCCGCCTCTGGGGCAGCTGAGCCTTGGAGCCCAGCTCAGAAGTTCCTGATTCTTACCTGGCCACGCCCTCTTCCAGGTGCCCCTTGGCAGCTGCTAGCACGCAGTGGTTACTCCCGTTAGTGCCAGCAACCCACACCCCTGGCGTCCCGACTTCAATGTCCCAGCCTCTGTGCCTGGACTCCCGCTCATGCTCAGCTGTGGGAGGACAAAGGGGCTGGACGCCAGGGCGAAAGGAGGGGAAAAGTGGGGGGAGGGGACGCTGGGCTTTTGTTTCCCCTTCTAAGACCAGCCCCCCAGGGGTGGGAGTAAATGTGGACTTGATTGTGTGAACAGCTCTCGGGGGATCTGGTGTAATTGAGATTAGGGTGACGGGGGTTAGCTGTGCCCCTAAATGACACGCGCAGGTTGTGTCAGGGTGTGTGTGGTGAGAAGTGAGTGTGCAGGTGTTCCGCTGTGGCAGTGCACGGAGCTTAGTGACTGCATGGCGCTGGGATGGATATATGACTGTGTGGCTCAGATGTGCTAAGAATGTGACTGTCACAGATAGGTTTCCTCTTTCTGCTTGTGTGACTTCCATGTGGTGTTTCTGCTTGGCAGCACATATGTGGGATAGTGTGTGTCTTGGTTGTTCCTGTCTCTTTGTGATTGTTCATTTCTGTGTGTCTCAGAGGATTGTGTGTGTGTGTGTGTGTGTGTCACTGGGGTGTGTGTGTCCATGGACCATGTTTGCCTCTGTGTGTGTGTACTGTATGTTCAAGGATTGATGTCTGTGGAGTGTGTGAGCCTGTGTCTCTGGTCTGAATTGAGGGGGGTTTCCACTATCCCGCTCAAGAAAGCATTCATTCCCCTTGGAGTGAGCAAAGTGAGGCAGGGTATGGTGGTCCTAGGTGGGTCAGGGTGGGGTAGAGGGGAGACCATTGCTGCTCTGGACCAGCCTGCTTTCCATATACTGGCACGGAATCATTTGTTGCCTTGAGGGATGATGCAGGGCTGTTGTTAAGTGTTTTAGAGTCAGTTCCGACTCATAGCAAGTGACCCTGTATAGGAGCGGCTGGTGGGTTTGAACCACCACATCAGGATTCCTTCTGTGGGGTAGGTGAGAGCATCTAACGATGGAAGCAGGCCGTTTGGAGAGGGAGTTGCCTTGGCAAGAGCTCGGATGGGCCTGGGCTTGCCCTGAGTTGCTATGTGACCCTCACTGCCCACCCCTTGGCCCCAGGCTCCTTATCTCAGAAGGGACAATAGTGACTCCAGTTGTTCTCATCTCACTGGGGTTTGTGGGTAAAAGCGGAAGGAGACCTGATGTCACCCTCTCAGTGGCTGGATGCAGGCCCAGTTTGTGGAAGGACCAAGATTGAGGAACAGGTCTGATGTTGACTGAGTAAATAAATGCCCCAGGGACCCTGCTCCAGGAAATGGTGCCACCCCTCCTCTCACAGTCAAAGGATGTTTTGCTCTTTGTTAAAAGGTGTGAACGATTTGAGCACCTTTAATTGTGTTTGTATTGGGAATGCTATGGCTCCACAGGATAAACACTGTGGATTGCAAACCATAGATTGGTGGTTCGAACCCAGCAGCCACTCCACTAGAGAAAGATGAGACTTTCTGCTCCTGCAAAGATTTATAGCCTCGGAAACCCTATGCAGGGTTGCTATGAGTGGGAACTGATTCAGCGGCAGTTAACAACATACTTGTACTTGGGAAAGAGCAGCTGAGGGTTTAGGCAGGAGCCTTCGAGAAGGAGACTTCACTCTGAGGTCACAGGGCAGGGAGAAAGGTGTGAGCTACCACTGGGTTTGCAGGTAGGTGCAGAGGTGGAGTTTTCGGTAACCCTGAAATTTCACAGAGAGGAACCAGCAACCACCGGACTGAGAACGGCCTCAGCTGAGGATGGACTGGCATGACACTGTCCAGCAGGGGGAGGTGGGAGGCCCCCATTAGATACTTGTGGTTTGAGGGGAGGCAGCCTTGGGCTGGTGAGTGGGTGGTGCAGTGCAGGGTCCTAGTGCCAAAGGGTGCTGGCTGGCTCTTCTACCCACAACTCTCAGTCCCACCATCCCCAATCCACTCCAAGGTCCTGTCCTCCAGGATGACTCAAGTGTGATCCAAAACCTGTAGTACCCCAGCCAGTGTGCGGAGGGGGTGGGGTGTAGGGCGGGTGCTGACCAGACAGGGAGGGACTGACAGAAGAAGTCACATTCATAGTCACTTTCCTGGGTGGGGCTGCCAGAAGCTAGAGAAGAGACTATTGGGACATTTTGGGTAGGGCAGTGCTCCTCAACTCTGACCCAGCAGTGTGGGTTCCACTGAGCTTTGCCCCTGGAAAGCACTCACCACAATTTCAGTTGGGGTAGGGGAGAGTAGGATGATGCTCCCTCACAGTTCCCTGGGGAGCAGCCCAAGAGGCTAACATAGGTTAGTCTGAGTGTCAACATTTGTGAGGAGCCTCTTGTCCTTTTCTCTAAGGTGTCAGAATCAGACCCTGAGAGTACTATCCAGAAGACCCGTTTGGAGGAGAAACCCATCCCTTGGCTGCCAGAAAGGGCCAGATTTACGGAAACCTTTTATGACCCATGGACCACCCACCAACATTTTCAGCCTCTCAGGTTTTTTTGGGGAAACTATCCCAGTTGTAGTACATGCTGTACCACCTGGCAGGGACCAGTATAACTGTGTGAATATGAAGAAACCAAGCAAACACTACCAATCCAACTATCAGAGTCCACTTAGGTCATATGTGCCCCACAGAACTGGTATCAAAATCTCCATTACTGAAAACACATGGCAACAACAAAAAATTCACAGCAGTAAATAATTTGGTCATGAAAGGTTAACACATGCTGGAGCTGGGGTTTAGCTCCCCCTTTCCTTTAAGACACCTCCACACCACATAGAATCTTAGGACAGAGTTCCAGACCTGTACTGACAACCTCTGACCTTTCCGGAAGACAGAGGCACAGGTCCCACGGATTCAAAGACAGGCATATCTGTGTTTCCAAGGCCTTCAGATCAAGTGCTCCCACCATGCTGGGAATTGGCTGGGAGGTGGGGGGGGTGAGGGGAGTGGGGGGTGGCCCAAAGTCCCCAGATACCAAAAACAAACCCCAGCCCTGGGGAGTTGGCATCTCCTGGCCAAGGGCTTGTCCCACTATAGGCAGGGGCTCAGAATTCCTCCATGTGGCCCACTCCCCAGCCTACCCAAGCAGAGGACCCCTCCCCTGCAATTCCTGGCTGACCCCGGATGGCAGTGCATATGCTCTGGAGCTAGAGCCTGGTGGGATTGTGGCTCAGCCAGACGAAGCTGTGTGGTCTTGATAGTCACATTAGCTCTCCAAAGTTGACTCCCCAAGCACAATATGGGGCTACTGGCTCCCAACCCAGGCCAGTGAAGGCGCCCCAGCACTATGGCTGACACAGGGTAGGGGCTCCCCTAGTATCTCCCTGTCATTTTCCTATTGATTTGATTACGGTTCCTCCTTACATCTTGGGGCCAGGCTAAACCCCAAACCCAGCAAGCTCTGACCCCACCCTCCTGCTGACACTTCAGAAAGAGACTACACACATTGAGATAGCGGCTTTAATCCTTTTGGCCAAGGTCCCTCGGGCCTGCCTACAGGCCTCCTTGGGCACACACTGCCCTGGCCCAGGCCCAGAGACTTTTCTCAGGTGGCCCCTGCCCTGTGGTCACTGACATGGGAACCCCTGACATCATGTCAGTCTGTGTCCCCATGGGCTTCAAGGCCGCTGAGTCCTCTGGTAGACACACAATCCAGTGGCCAGGAGCCTGCTCCTCTGGCTGTCTTCAGACCCTCGCAGGGGCAGGGGCAGGGGCAGGGGCAGTGCAGTGGGAGGCTGCTAGGAGGGCATGTCTCACTGCTGCAGCAGGTTTTCCTCCTGGGCCGGATCTCCTTGTGCTTTGAGACTGGTGTGATGAACAGAGGGCCTGTGGCAAAGGCCCAGCCTAGGCCCTGGAGGCATGATAAGAACTGAGAAGTCGGTACTCTCACAGCACAGACAGGAGCACAGAAACATGTAGACACGCTGGGCATCCTCATCCTCTGTTGCCACAGGGGGCATGGCCAAGTGACCCACCAAGGCTTCCAGGTCAGGATGTCAGAGGCAGCCTCAGTAGGAGGACCTGGCCCTGCAGCCCACACTCCCAGGAGCCCCAGGTCTACAGGAGCATTAGAGAGGCTGGGATCCCGACCCAGCTGGACCTCGGGGATGAGAGGAACCTTCTCCACGAGAGACCCTGGCTGAGCAGGGGTGGCAGTCGACGAAGAGGTTGTGGAGCCAGCTCCCAGAACACTCCAAGTGCAGACACCCCAGCCGGCCCTCCTGGGCTCCCCCAGTTTCTACTTTATATACAGGCTGGGAAAGGCAGATCTTCAGTTAATGCCCATTCCTGTCTGTGAGGGTTTGGGCATGGCTGCTGCCGCCTCGGGGGCCCACAGCGTTGGTGGCGCTGTTGGCATAAGCATCATAACTGTTGTCTGAACTGAGCTCATCGGAGATCTCCACGCCATCGCTGATCTCTGTCAGGCCAGAGAGAGGACAGAAGGTGAGAAGGGGAGGGGAAAGGCCCACGAGCATGGGAGAGGGAGGTGGGCTGCAACAGCAACTAGTCAGGCACTTGGAGGCTAACGGAGCCACCTGGGTTCCAGCCTGGTACCCAGCCTGGCATTCAAGGCCCTCCTTGGTCTCAACTCAACTCTCTGGCTTCTCCACAGCCCACTCTTCCCTGGAGCTCCACCTGTAGCTACAACCCATTCCCTCGTTGACTTCTCTATCAGAAACAGTGCAGGCACCTGGGGATCCAAACACCATGGACTGGCCCCTTCTAGGAGCTCCCCAACCTGGCCAGAGCTGCACTAGAGAGAAGCCAGGATGCACTCTGACCCAGCGTGGGGCCAGGGAAGCCACCCCCGAGGAAGATTTTGAGGTAGGAGGAATGTAAGTGCTCCTGTGGGTAGGTGTCTGTGTCTAATCTCCTAAGTACCTAGAACAGTGTCTGGCATGTATCTGTTGAATGAATGAATGAGTGAATGTTCACACAATTCTTGGAACCAACTCTACTCAAAATCAGTGTTGCCCCAGCTGGACCTTGGCTCATACATCCAGTGTTCACCAAGCACCTGCTCTGGGTCAGGCAGAGTGCTGGCCCTCACAAGTGCCTTGTGAGGTCAGTTTACAGACAACAAGTCTGAGGCTTGAGCGAGGTCAGTGTGCGCAGGTCCACACAGGTGTATCTGGCTCCTAAATCTTTCTGGAATCTCTCCTCCTCTCTGTTCCCCAGGACCTTTCACCTGAATTATTGCTCCTTTTTATCACTTGAGATTTTCCCTCCAATCCACCCTCCACCCTGCTGTGAATGTGCTCAAAGACAGCTGCTCGGGACCCTCCTCTGCTCCTGAGAGGACACCCAGGGCTTGCTTCAAGGTGAGCCAACCAGAGGCATCCCCTTAGGCCACGTGGAGTAATAACTTAGCTCCGGGTGCTCAGGCAAGCAGGTCTCCTCTGAACACATGCTGTTTCCACCTGGGATGCCCTCTCTTCTCCCTCCTCACCTAGCCTTCACCTCAACCCCACAACCCAAGTTACTTTCTGTCTATCCTCCACATTTCAACTATGTTATCCCCTTACAAGGAGCTCTGGTGACATAACAGTTAAAGCACTCATCTGCTAACCCGAAGGTTGGCAGTTCAGATCCACCCACTGGCTCTGTGGGAGCAGGATCTAGTGATACGCTTCCTTACAGAATGTTGTTGTTAAGTGCCATCGAGTTGGCTCTGACTTATATCGACCCTGCATAGGGTTTCCGAGGAGTGGCTGGTGAGCTTGAACTGCCAACTTTTGTACTTCTTATCAACTTTGCAGTCCAGTGCATTAACACAGCGCCACACCAGAACTCTGCTCCTTATAGATTACAGCCCAGAAAACTCTCTGGGGCCATTCTGCTCCATCACATGGGGTCAGTACGTGTCAAAATTGATGTGACGGCACCTAACAACAACCTCTTTGCAAACTGGACCCCCAACTTCCCTCCTTATCTCAGGTAACTCTGACCACTCCCTCCTCTATACCCCACCCTGACCCAGCACCCCCACCGAGCTCTGGGGACACCCCATTTTCCATCAGGCTGGGAATGCCAACAAGAAGCAGAGGTGAAGCCACTGTTGTGGGTCCCCTATGAAACAAGCTACAGGGGGTGGGCCGGCCTTCAGTAGAGCTCCCTGGCTGTGGGACAGGCAGGGTCTGGAGTTGCTGGTACGTGTGGCCGAGTGCCTCGTGGGCCTATCTGGGGCTCCATCTGTGGAGCTGCGCACCTGAGAAGATGAGCTTCTCCTTCATGATGCTGACGTCCCGGCTGGCCCGGTGCACTGCAGCACTCAGCATGATCTGCTCGGGGTTGTAGCTCCGTATGCCACCAAGGCGCCACCTGCAGAGATAGCCCCGTGGGCATCAGGTCCCTCCCCAGCCCTCCCCTGGAACAGAACTGTGTCCACTTTCAGAGTGTCTCTGGGTTTGGCCTGAGAGAGTCCCACTGTACAGATGGGGAAACTGAGGCCTTAAATCAGACTCTACTGAGTCTCTGCCAAGGCTTTTCCACTCCCTCTTACCTCCAGAACCCCAAATCAGCACCCCTCACTTGGGAAGATGGCTGGGTTGGTTGTTTTCAGTGCCCCCCCCCCCCCCCCAGTTATTGGCTTTCTGGCTGGGAGAAATTTGGGCTGGGGTGGGGGAGCTTGGCAGACATGACTCTGATGACCTGCTGTGGGGTATACACCAACCTCAGAGAGCCACATCCCAACCATTGTGACTAGGGTGAACCAAATCTGAGGGGAAGTCCCAGAGAGGAAGTGAAGGGAAGTAGGAGGTGACAGGAGATGACAGGTGGGGGGCTTTGCTTGGAACTGGTCCTCACAGGTTGAAGAGGCTAGGGCATGCAGATGCCTGAGTGTGGAGCCATTTGCTTCCTGTGTTCCCACCACCCAGGAAGAGAGGCACACACTCCTGAGGGCGGGACAAGGTGGAGCATTAGCCCCCTGACAGCCGAGGTAGGACAAGGTGGGGCCATGCATAAGGTGAAAAACCCGGTTTCCATGTCCAGCCTCTGGGATGATTTTTACTGCAGTCATTCCCCTGAACAAGCCCCAGACCTTAGATTCTTCCTACCATCCAGACAGAAGGACTCACTGAACCCCCACCCCTACCCCCACCAAGAGGAGAGGGTGGTCAGCTCAGAAACATAAGTCCAAGCCCCCAGAGAACTGAGTCCTGCTTGGGTGGGTGGAGGAAGCCAAGATCCCACCAGGAATCAACTGCAAGTTTCTAGATGGGGTCAGCACAGCAGAAATGGGCAGACAGATGGATGAGCAAACAGATGGCTAAACAGAGCAGACAAACGAGAGGAGAAAGCAAGAGCCAGAGGGGAAGGCAGTCTGAGTTCTGGCCATGCCAGTTGCCTTGCAAACTCCTTGAGGGTAGTGGCTAGGTCTTTTGCATTTACTACCATGTCTTCAGCACCAACTTCAATGCCCCCCATTACAGGTACCAGGTAAGTACGTGTTAAGTGAACGAATGGGAGACTGAGGCCTTCAGGGAAGCAGTTGTCCCCTAGGGCGCCCCCCTATCAGGAAGACAGCTGCATCACTGGGGGCCCAGCATATGTCCAGGCACCTAGAATCCTGCCAGGTCTGTCTCCCCCACCAGACTGGGGCTCTGGGGGGCAGCCCCAGCGCACCAGGACCAGTGGGTGGTGTCTGTTGTTGGGGAAAGTGGGGGACCAAGTGCCTGGGAGATAGCCATTCATTGGCTCAGCCCCATGACCCCAGAGAACAGAGTGTCTTTGCCTAGAAGCTGGTCACTGAAGCTGACTTGATCCTGGACCAAGGGGTCACTGAGACCAGGGCTCCTCTTGCAGTTGAACAGTACTGCCCAGAAGGAAAGTGTTAGGCCAGGGCTTCAGCAGTCGGGCACATCCAGGATGGGCAGCTGACCCACAAAGGTCATCCCCATGGGTCCCTGGGGGCATATGGGTGATAAACTACAGTGAGAGGCAGAACTCCACTGAGCAGAACTGGGATAGGGAGGTATTGGGGAAGCAGAGGATAGGTTTCAGACAGAAAATTAAGAGGAGATCATTCAATAGAGATGGGAGACCCCCACCCCCATTCCTGACTTTCACTCGCTCAACCTCTTCCTTTCAGTGTAACTTGAAGCTAATTTGCCCTACTGAGGATCTGACTGAAGCCAAAGATACAGAGTCTGTATTGTTCTTACTGAAACACAGCACGGAATTCACATTCAACTCAAACAAACCCAAATTTAAAATGCCAAAAAACAAGATGGGAGAGTCCAAGAAACGCATACAGGGAATGTGGGTGATGGTAGCAACAACCTTAGAGGGAGAAGCCAGCAGAGGGGGAGAGCTTGCCAGGGTCTGCGCTGGGGAGATGGGAAGGCTTCTGAGGGTGTCAGACTGGGGAAGGGGGCGCCCAGCAGAGCCCCCGCCCCCAGAGGGAGACAAACAGGTGCCAAGAGGCCAGGGCAGTGCCCTGCTAAGGAAAGGCTGGTTTCTGCTGCAGAAGCAGGGGTCAGGATGGAAAGCGAGGGTTACACACAGCGAGGTGGGAGGAGCAGACTGGGGAGAGAAGGCTTCAGGCAAGGGCAGGTGTCCGGGAAGGGAACCCTTTGGGAACGGAGGCATGGGGCATGGTGTCCAGCAGGTTTTCAGATAGAACTGGAGAAGGGAGAAAGAGAAAAAGGAGGAGGAGGAAGACCACACCAGAATTACCTGATCAAGTGATAGCTGTGAATGCCAGAGTGCAGCAGAGAGAGGGGTGGTGGGAGAGAGGGGGACATGCGCCGGATCAGAGCGATATGGGACAGAGAGAGAAGATCAGTCAAGAAGAAAACACCAGCCCATCTGGCCCTACACCCGCCACTGGACCAGGTGTCCCCCCACCCTACCCTCCCTACAACCACCGTCCCAGGTGTTGTCCTGAGGGCTAGGAGCTTGTAGCACAGGCCCTGGCAAACAGGTGAGGGGCGCAGGCCCAGAGGAGTGGAACTCACTGAAGGCTTCACAACAAACATGCAGAGCCTGGCTCTGGGCTCCCATCTGGCACTCATTCCAGGAGCCACCAGCTGGGGAGGCTGGGCTGGGGACACTGGGAGTCCTTCCTTTTCTCTGGACCACGGTGTTTGGTCAGCCCTCTGGCCCTGGGCCCCAGACTCAGGGCTCCTTTCACTGGGGTGGGGCCCGCTGTGGGGTGGCAGGGGGAAGACCCCGGCAGGTGACCAGTGTCTACTCACTTCTGAAACACGAAGATGCCGACGATGAGGGTGAAGGAGACCAGGTCAGCGGTGACCCACATGAGGCAGTACTCGTCCGGGGGCTGTGGACAGACGACCCAGGCTCCAACTGCAGGTCCGTGGGCAGGAACACCCCACAGGACCATTCCAGGGGCAAGGAAGAACCTTGATGGGGCTGAGGGCCTGCAGTTGTGTTTTCCAGGAGTAGGCTTTGGCACCGAGTCTGGGATAGGGTGGGTTTGTGTTTCTGGGTAGTTACAGAGACTGAGCTGAGAGCTGTGTGTGGCATAGAGGGTGTGTGTATGCTCAGGTGGTGAGTCCCTGGGGGGTGCAGATGTTAACCGGAAGTTTGCAGGTTGAGTCCACCCAGAGGCACCTGGGAAGAGAGGCCCTGATCTACTGAGAATTAAGCTGTGACCCCCCTGGAGTCCAGTACTCAGACACGTATGGGGGCACCATGACTTGGAATCAATCCTGACAGCAAACTTTTTATTTTTTAGTGCTCAGAGTTGTGATGGTGTCTTAAGCCAGGAGGATATGTGTGCTTAAAGGGACTTGAAGCAAGAGCTCAAGAACGAAGGACAACTATCTGGGGGTAAGAGGGGTGACCACACTGTGTGTGAGTGAATAAGTGGCCACGTGGGCAGCAGCTGGAAGGGGGTGAGGGTACCTGTGCCACTTGGACTAGGGTGCGGAGACTCTAGAGGGGCTCGGGGATAAAACCCGCATGTCTCTGGCAAACTGTGGTGCAGGGGTGGGGTTGGGAGGGGGCTCACAGCGTCTGCTGCCATGGCCAGTCAGTTACTTTACTTCATTCTGAAGTGAGTCTTTGGGGTGTGGGTTTAAGGACAAGGGGCAGGTGAAGAGCTGAGTGAGGAGATCTCTAGGACTGAAAGGGTTATGATAAATCCCAGCATCTGAAGTCTGTGGCCCAGTTTCTGACTCTCTTCAAAGTTCCTCTTTTTGGCTTTGTCTCCTCCTCATCTGTCTTTTCTTTCCCACTCTCCTCTTCACACAACCACCCACACCCTAGACCTCAGCCACAACAAGCCACTCCACCTGCCCTTTCATATCCTTCACCTCATCCTCCAATGATACCCTGAGGGGGGAGGACAGTGGGAGGGAGGCTGGTGGCTCCCAAGTCCATGAGTGACCACCTGACTGGAACGCAAACCTCTTTGCAGGCACTTGGTGGGCAAGTAGAACATGGCTTTAGTTACTGTATTCTCTGGGCAGCTTTAAATGTTCTCTGTTTTTATTCTGGACTCCTGATGTGGTGCTGTAGGATCAGCACCGGAATGCGAACCACAAGGTTGGCAGTTCAAACACACTAGCTAGCTGCTCCTTGGAAACCCAATAGAGGGTTTCTGTGAGTGGAACCAGCTCAATGGCATTTAACAACAATTCTTGTTCTGGTGTGGTACTGTAGGATAAGCACTGGACTGCTAACAGAAAAGCTTGCGGTTCAAACCCACCAGCTGCTGTGAGTCTGAACCGCCTCAATGGTCCTTAACAACAACAACATTCTTGCCCTGGAAGCTCTGTGTGTGCTTGGCTGTTAATGGAAAGGTTGGAGGTTTCAGTCCACCCAGAGGCACCTCAAAAAAAGGCTCGGTGGTTCCCTTCCAAAAACTCAGCCACTGAAGACCCTCTGGAGCACAGTTCCACTTGGAAGTACACGGGTTGCCGTGATTTGGAATTGATGGGAACTAGTTATTCTTGTTCTGGTGTTAACCTCTTTTTCCAATTTCCGTCCTTCCTTAAAGTAAAACATCAAAACAACAGAAACCCAAGTGGTTCTTTATTTCTCCAGGGCCCTTCAGTGATGGGCTTCTCCCTGTACGTCAGGTCAGGAAGCCCACACCTCCCAGCATATGAGTGTAGGCCCCACAGGGTGTCTATGTCCCCTGGACACCCCCTCAGAGATGGCCTGGGTGCGGCCTGCCCAGTGACTGGTATAGGCCACCAGTACCTCTCTGTGCCCGCCCCTTCCACTCACCATAATCCACAGGGGAGAAGGCACCTGGGATAGGGTGTGGGTGTTGTCAGAGGTGACAGATGGGACCCCCGTGCACCACAGCAGGGAGAAGAGCCACGGAGCATTGACCGTGTAGAGGTTCACACTCAGGTTCCAGGATGAGTAGTCCCTGAGGAGAGGGAGGGGATAGAGGCTACTTGGCCCCACAGACTCTGGCTGCGTCCAGGGCCATCCTCGAGGAAGGAATCTCCATCCCTGGATGGCTGAGCTGGACTACAAACTCTGTCTGCTTGGCTACTGTCCACGCCCTTGACCTCTCGCCTTTGAACCTGAGTCCCCTGGGTGTCCAGCCCCATCCATGCCCAGCTGTGCACTGGGATGAGGAGAGTAGGTGAGACTCAGTCCAGCCCTCCTCTGATGGGGTGGGGTTGGGAGGCAGGCACCTGAGCTCCTGGCGGGACACCTGAGTATATCGCAGGTTCAGCCGCTGGATGTGGCCCCGCCTCAGGCTGGCTACTGCCTCCTTGGTGCCTGATGTCTGCTGGAAGCCGGGAGCCACCTTCTGCACCAGGGGCCTCTGCCTGCTGGGCAGCCACATAACCTGCAGGCAGGAGAGGGGGCCTCTTCAGATTTCTGTGAATTGGGGATAAAGGTACCTACACCTTGTAGAAGGAGTCTGGGTGGTATGATGGGTAAACGGTTAGTGGTTCAAACCCACCAGTGGTTTCATGGGAGAAAAGAAAGGAGATCTGCTTCAGTCAAGTTACAGCCTGGGAGACCCTACAGGGAAGTTTTACTCTGTCCTAAAGGACCGCTGGTAGTGTAGTTACAAATCGGGCTGCAAAACCGCAAGGTCAGCAGTTCGAAACTACCAGCTGTTCTGTGGGAGAAAGATGAGGCTTTCTGCTCCTGTAAAGATTTACAGCCTCGGAAACCCTGTACAGGGTCACTATGAGTTGGAACAGACTCCATGGCACATAACCACCACCACCATAGGACCTCTGAGTTGGAACGGACTCACTGGCACACAACACCCCATGAAGCAACTGTCAGTGTCAGAAGAGAGGGGAGCTAACACACTGCGGGGGAGAGGGGGGACGATGGACTTCATTGTAATCATCATTGTTAAGGAATTGGTTCATCCCAGCCTGAGCTGAATTGTTCTGGCAACAATTCAGGAAGCTTCTAGACCCTTGTCAAGACAAGATTTAGAACCCAAATCTCAATTATTCTGCATGTGGCCACGAGTTTTTAGTGTGCTGTCAGAATCCTCTGCTCTAAAGACATTATACTGCAATGTAGGCAACATTCCCCAGAAACAATCAGGGAACCTGGATCTGTTCCTGCTTTTGTGCATTTTCCCTCTGGGACCCATGATGACACTGCTGGGGAGGATGAGGGGCCTGCTATCCCATTGTATGAACATGAAACTTGAAGTCTGTGGAGGGGTCACAGTGGGTTTTCACCGCACCAGGCTCGAACCTGACTCAGCCTCACCTGGTGCTGGGGGAAGCCGGAGCGAAGCACAGCCTCCAGAGTGAGGTTAAGGAAGCTGGCGTGGTAGGGGTGCTCTCGTGGTGGGTCACGCAGGTTGAGCAGCAGTGAAGCGTTGCCTTTGGCCAGCTCCAAGAGCTCTGCCAGGCTGCAGATGGACTGGTTCTGGGCCTCCCTGTGGTCCGCGGGCGACAGGGAGCCAGCTGTCCAGAATGGGTCAGTCTGGGGAGACATGGGCACATGCAGCTATGGTGTTAGCTCTTTGGGCCCCCATGTGCCCGTCCAGACACCCAGTGTGCAGAGTACACGGCTGCCAGTGTGGTCCCCATGTGCCCGCCCAGACACCCAGTGTGCAGAGTACTCGGCTGCCAGTGTGCTGGGGTGTGTATCAGGTTAAATGATGGCCACAGCTCTGGGTCAGGGCTCTAGGAGGCCCAAGCCTAAACGCTCGCCACTATCCTCTGTTTACAGAAGGCATTTCTCCTTCTCCGTCAGCAGCCTTTCAGACTAGAGCCCCAAATTCCTTCTAGTGTACAAAATTAATGACTTAATCATCATCATCAACTTTTCCTGGTGGGGGAGATGAATGGGACCCAGAATAAGCAGTGAAAGCCATGAGACTGGTCTGCAGTGAAAGGGGCCTGAGGGGGCCAATAACCAGCTTGGCTGTGCAGCAGGCCAGCTCTTGATGTGGGGGCTCCGTCCTGTACTCCCATGGCCTAAGACTGGGACTGGGGGTAGTCAGACCTTCAGGAACCACTGGCCAGCGTTGAGTCTCTGCAGCGTGGTCCAGTTGAGCATGGAGGCCGGCCTGCTGGCAAGTTCAGGCAGCTCCTCCTCCACGTTGGTGGTCCGCCTCAGGGTGGTGTCATGTAGCAGGAAGGGCACGCCATCCAGGCTGCAGGGAGGGGCCCTCAAATGGTCATCCCCGACTCTTCTGCACCCACCTTCACTGACCAGGGGACCCGGGCAGGTCTCAGTGCCCTGGCTGTCTGCCTCTCTAGGAGGCTCAGATGGGGATGGGGCTGCAGAGGAGGGAGGGCAGGGGAAAGACTGGGACCGTTCTCTTAGTAACTTTGGAAGGTAGGTGTACCTCGTTTGATAACAAGGAGCCCTAGTGTGGCGCTGTAGGATACGCACTGGACTGCTAACACAAGGATGTCAATTCAAACCTTGAAAACCCTACACAGTGTTGTTGAGTAGAACTGACTCCACAGAACTTAACAAGGTTGGGCACAGGAAGTACCTAGTTGAAGGCCCACAGCCAGTAAGTGGCAAACCTGGCTTGGAACTAAGCCCATCTGATATCACAGCGAGAAGAGAACAAATGCAGGCTCCTTTGACAAATCCTGCCCCCACGCCCCCAGCATCCTCATCTATCCCACCAGGGTTGCGTAGCCCACAGGACGGAGACTTGGTATGAAGTGTAAAAGGCACCTGTGCCCCTTTCTCAATGCATTTTACCACCACCTGCTAGGAAGTTGTTACATGCACAATCCAATGATCCTGCCTTGGACCAGCGCCCTCACATATGGGATACCCTTGTTCAGTACACAAGCCATACTATATATGGCAGCCTGCCCTTCTCCCCTTCCTAAAGGTTAAGAGATTGGTGTGGGCTCTTCCTTGCCTCTTACACTTGGACATACTTGTCTGTCTACAACTTGTAGTTGGTGTTAAGTGCTGTCAAGTCAGTTCCAACACATAGCCACCCTGTATAGGGTTTCCAAGGAACAGCTGTTGAGTTTCCTGCCACACCAGGAGGTAGAAATGTACATATCACTTTTGCATGGTCTCTTTTTAATATAACTGCTATTACAATGAACATACGTGGAAACATGGAATCGGAAGGCACCTTGTAATGTATTCCACACAGCAGAGAGCTCCGTCATGCTGAGCTGTACTGGTCTCCCATCTTGAGGGTGAACTCCAGCCTCTACCCCCACCCCTGCTTGAACTAATACATCTGTTCTTTTCTCAATTTTGTATCCTGAGGTTTCGAACAAGAGTCATTTGCAAGAACAGCTTGCTGCTGTAGCCAGGTGTCTGCCCCGCCCTAAAAACTCCAAGCCCCACCCACATCTCCCAGGCACTGTCCGCCCTCCCCACACCTACCTGATGGTGACATCAGCCTGAAGTCCATACAGCTTCTGCTCTATGGCCTTCTGGAAGGACATCAGCGTGTGCTCTGGGGCCAGCTGGAGAGACAGGGGCATGAGGGGAAAAGTGGAGATTCCGGTGAATAACTTGAACATACCCCTTCCGAACCAACAGAAACTCCTGTGCTGGGCTGTAATTCACACCCCTCTATACAGTAGCTGTGTGACCCTGGCAACCTACTCGGTTTCTCTGAAACTCAGTTACCTCATCTGTTAGATCAGGCCTGCCTAATGGGATATCATGTAGGGGAGGCCGAGGTGGTGGCTAATGTTGATGCATGTCAATGGCTGACATACAGTTACAGTTAATAAATAGTTGTTGTTATTGTGAAGTGCTGTTGAGTTGTTTCTGACCCATAGCGACCCTGTATAGGGTTTCCGGGGAGTAGCTGGTGAGCTTGAACCACTGACCGTGAAGTTTAAATGTCTTAACCCACATTAACCCATAGCGCCACACCAAGACTCCTAATAAACAGTAGCTATGGTCATCATTGGCGTCCTGGTGTGGCGCTGTGGGTTAATGCGCCAGACTGCAAAGCTGTTTGAACTGTAAGGTCGGCAGTTCAAGCTCACCAGCTGCTCCTCGGAAACCCTATACAGGGTCGCTATGGGTTGGAATCAACTCGACGGCACTTAACAACAACAACAACATGATCATTATTGGGAGTCCTGGTGTATCCTGGTGTGGTGCTGTGGACTAATGCACTGGACTGTAAAGTCAGCGGTTCAAGCTCACTAGCCCCTCCTTGGAAACCTTATTCAGGGTTGCTGTGGGTCGGAAGCGACTTGATGGCACTTAACAACAACAACATGGTTATTACGGAAACGTAGTAGCTCCATACAATAAGCACTGGACTGCAAACCATAAGGTCTGAGGTTTGAGCCTGCCAGCCGCTCCTTGGGAAAAAGATGAGGCTTTCTGCTCCCATGAAGATTTAAGCCTCGGAAACTTTATACAGGGTTGCTATGAGTTGGAACGGACTCCACGACACTTAATAACAAGAGGGTCATTATTTTTTACCTGTGTTTTATTGACTATGCAAAGACATTCAGCTGTGTATATACAAATATGCATAACACTGGAAATTCCAGAACACTTCATTGTGTTCATGTGGCTATACATAGAACAAGAGGCAGTTGTTCAAACAGAAAATGGTTTAAAATCAGGAAAAGTGTGTGTTAGGGTTTTATGATACTTAGTCAATCATCTGTATGCTGAACAAATAATCTGAGACGCTAGACTATATAAAGAAGAGCACAACATCAGGATCAGAGGAAGACTCATTAACTTGTGTTAATGCAGATGATAGAACCTTGCTGAAAGTGGAGAGGACTTGCAGTACTTAACTTGATGAAAAGCAAAGACTACAGTCTTCCGTATGAATTACACCTTAACATAAAGAAAATGAAAGTCCTCATAACTGGACCAATAGGCATATCATAAATGGAGAAACCACTGAAGTTGTCAAGGATTTCATTATACTTGGATCCACAATCAATGCTCATGGAAGCAACAGTCAACAAACCACAAAACATAGTGCATTTAGCAGATCTCCTGCAAAAGACCTTTAAAGTGTTAAAAGTCACTGTGAGGACTAAGGTGCACCTGACCCAAGCCATGGTATTTTCAATTGCTTCATATATATGTGGAAGCTGGAAAATGAATAAGGAAGCCCATAGAAAAAGCTAATCATTTGCATTATGGTGTTGGCGAAGAACCTTGAATGACCAGATCTTCCGGGGCAGAAGTACAACTGGAACGTTCCTGAGAAGCAAGGATGGTGAGGCATCCTATCAGGAGTGGCCAGTCCCTGGAGAAGGACTTGGTAAAGTAGGGTCAGCGAAAAAGAGGAAGTCCCTCAGTGAGATGGATTGACACACTGGCTAAAACACTAGACTCAAACATAGAACTACTGTGAGGGTGGCACAGGACTGTTGTACAGTCAGAACCCACTCGGTGACACCTAACAACAACATGGTTACTGTATTATCATTACTGTATCCCAGGCACTGAGATGGAAAGTGGAGATGGGAGAGTCCTCTCTGGCTCCTTGGTGGTCTTGGGGCTGAATGCTAAGTCTCCTCCTGATGATATCCTGAGTGGGGTCCTGAGGGGGATTCTGGAGGGACAGGAGAAGGCAGGTGGGGTGGTACGGATCCTGTGGTGATCAGTTTCCTTATCTAGGCAAACATGATTAGACCCTCTCCCTCCTCCTCTCTGTTACATGGGTTAAAAGTTCCTAGCATACTAGGTATCCTGGTGGCACAATGGGTTAAGCTCTGGGCTGCTCACTACAAGTCCGCAGTTCAAACCCACAGCTGCTCAGTCAAGATGGACAATCTTGAAAATCCTGAGGAACAGTTCAGCTCTGTCTTGTAGGATGACTGTGTGAGCACAGAGCTTGATACTGTTTCATAGATGACAGGCATTAACCCCATAGCATGTAAATCATACCAGCTTGGGTCTTGTCCTGATTCTGCCATTAACTAGAATTATGGGTTTGGGCATATTTCTTTCTCCTGTGGATCCCAGTTTACTCATTTTCCCTTTTGGGGTATGGCCACTGTTCTTTGAGGATTTTCCTGTTGGGGGAATTGGGGTTCCAAGACACCGTCTTCGTTGATTCTGAAAATCATGTCATACTCTTAGCTGCCACTAGAGGTCAGCACTTGACCAAGGATTGGGCTAGGACAAACCAAGAGGAATAGTGGAGGGAGGATGGGGAAAAAGGATGCTGGCCAGTGAGTTGATGGGCTGGAAAGGACTCTCATGGCAGCTCTCATTCCTGTCTTGTCTTCCCCTAGCCACATGATCCCCATGTTCTGTAGTATGGGGAGGCAGGATATGGCAAGGCTTTTGGAAGTCCTGAGAAGTCAGCAGCTCCGCTTTCCATCCATGGTTCTTGGAGAAGTACCTCACCTACCACAGAGCCTCAGTTTCCTTAGCTACAAAGTGAGTTGTTGTCAACCTCCCTGGTGAGAAACAGCTGTCAGAGACCCTACCAGGCTTGGCAGGGTCTCTAATGTGAGTTCTTTTCTCCCCTTTCCCCAGAGCAGAGCTGCCTTATGGATGTGGTGCTGCGTCTTGTCTGCACTGTGCTGTGGGAGACCACTCGGAGGCACCATCTGTCTCTCCTCTAAATGTCCTGTGGCCATGGGCTGGGGCTGCAGAAAGTGGGCTGTGGGTAGACATGAGGAAGCCAAGCAGGGGCTTTGAGGGTGCTCCACAGGCAGATGGGAGTGCTTGGGAATGGGAGATTCTCTTCTTCTAAGGCTTTTATACACAATTAGGATCTCCAGGGGTTAGAGGACAAGGATCCAGCTCAGGAGCACAGGTCTCTGAATTCTCTAGAAAATGGTGTTAACCTACTACGTGAAGAGTGAGGTGATTCTCCACCCTGTCAGATTCAACATCGCCTTTTAAAACAGTTACTTTGTAAGGACCTTTATATGAAAAAAAAACCCCACACTGTTAGCTTCCAGTCATGTGACATGGAGCAGGGGCATGGAGAGAGACCTGGCTCTTGCTGGCTAGCGTCAAGGATCTAGAAGGATCCTGAGACGTATCTGGGGATTTTGAGGTCAGTTTTTAATTCTCCTTTCGCAGCTCCCACTTGCCTCAGGTCTGAGCCCGTGTGTGCATGCATTACAAACTTAGGTGGACAGGACAACACTGGCTTCGAACACTAGCTTTGGAGTTGGCCTGACTCAAGTGAACGCAGATACACACAGACACCTACTCTAAGGCAGGGTTGTACCTGGGTCTGCCACACACAGAGCTGGGGACCCTGGGTCAGAATCCCCACAGGCCATCATCTGAGGACACCGATACACATGCATACAAGAGACGCACAGAGGAGACGTGTCAGATACCAACAGCAGCCCCTCAAACACCCACGCTGACACCACCACAAGGATGTGGTCCCCCAGATGCACAGTGTAGGCACTTCTACAGAACAAATGACTCAGTTTCTTTAACCAATAAACAACATAAGGAAGAAAAGGGGAGGGGGGATTGTGACAGACCCAAACAGACTTGAGAGGCACGCCAACCAGCTGCTCTGTGTGGACGGTGTTTGGGCCCTGATTTTTAATAACTCAACTGTAAAAATAGATTTTTGAGATGATTAAAAAAAAAATGAACATAGACAGTATTAGATATTAAGGAACTGCTGCTAATTGTGTTGGGTGTGATAACAACATTGAGTTTCTGCTTTGTGCTTTTAAAGTTTTTTATGTGTCAGAGATACATCTGGACATACGTATGAGTCAAATGACAGGACATTTGGGATTTTCCTTAAAATACCACATCAGATTTTCTCAAAAGTAGGGGGATAGATGAAGCAAGAATAGCAAATGTTGACAAATGTTGAGCTGGCATTGGACTAATTATGCTATTTGCCACAATATGACTCATTATACTATTCTTCCTACTTCTGCATGTTTTTGAGATTTTCTAGGAAGTATAATCGGAGCTGGGGCCACCTCACTTCTCCCCTTCTTCTCCCCCTGGTCTGCAAGGCAGGTAAAATGGATAACGGGGGCCAGTGAGACAAGGAGAGCCATGAGCTCAGTCTCTTGAGAACCTCTCCTCCCAAGGCCCCAAGCTCAGGCCCTACCCCTCACTCTCCCCAGCTGTGCTGGCTCCTGGCTGAGTCATCCTCACAAAAGCCAGTGATGGGGGTATCACTAGAACCAAGGGGCATACAGGCAACAGGTGACAAAAGTGGACCCAAATCCAGATCCCTCTGACTCTAAAGCCATGACCTTTCAATCTCTGTGAGCTGTCTGTGAGGTGCTGGGGCCAGCAAGAGGTTTGGTGGGAGGGGATCAGAGTCCAGCTCAGGAGCACAGGTCTCTGAATTATCTAGAAAATGGTGTTAACTCACCACACTGAGGAGTGACGTGATTCTCCACCCTGTCAGACTCAATGGTCACCTTTTAAAACAGTTACTTTGTGAAGTTCTTTTTGTGGAAAAACACACTGTAGCTTCCAATCATTGTGACAGTGGGGGTGTCATCAAATCAGTACTGACTCATAGCGACCTTACACACAACAGAACGGTCCTGGGCCAACCTCCCAATCATTGCTATGCCTGAGTCTCTCGCTGCTGCCACCGTGCCAATCCATCTTGTTGGGTGTCTTCCTCTTTTTCTCCGACCCTCCACTTTACCAAACATGATACCCTTCTCCAGTGACTGGGTCCCTTCTGATAATAAGTAGGAAGTATGAGAGACAAAGTCTGATCATCCTGGCTTCCAAACTTCTTGTTGTTAAGTTCTGTCAAGTGGGTTCCACCTCATGGTGGTGGGGTGTGCTGTAGAGTTGGTTCCAACTCAGTACAGGGTTTCCAAGGCTGTACATTTTTACGGGAGCAGAAAACCTCTCTTTCTCCCACAGAACAGCTGGTAGTTTCAAACTGCTGACCTGGAGATCAGCAGCCCAATCCATAACCACTACGATGCCAGAGCTCCAACCCATAGTGAGCCTGTATAGGGTTTCTGAGGTATGGCTGGTGGGAGACCTCAAATTCCTAATAGGCTCTCTGGTGGTGGGAGGAGATATCGCCTTATTTGAGAACCACTTGTTTGATAAGTGCTGTTGAGTCAGTTTGGACTCACAGGGACTCTGTAAGGAGTGGCTTGTGGGTTTGAACCGCTGACCTTGCAATTAGCTTATTCTAATGCTTATTTTATATCACCATAGCAGAACCACCAGTTCAAGGCTTTTCTGGGTGAAGTGACCCTTGTCCAGAGAAGAGATAAAAATAGCATCTAACTCTTATTAAGAGAGCACTTTTGTATACAGGCTCATGCCTGATTCTCACTACCATCCTATGGGGCAGACTTTCATATTGTCCCACTGCATAAGAGGAGGCAATGAGGCCCAGAGAAGAAAGGAAACTGGTCTTGGTTTCCACAGCTGGCACAGCAGAGCCCAGACTCAAACGCAGACGGCCTGGCTCTGGCGACTGCCCCCACAGACCCAACCTCCAGCCTCTCCTCTGCCTTCCTGGCCAGCTCCCATCAGGACCACCAAAGACCCTGCCCAGCTCACAACCTGGCAGTGTCTAGCCTACAACCCACTGTGCCTCTCCAGGGCCCTCAGAAGAAAGAGTCATTCCTTTTAGCAAGACAACTTCAGGATCGGATCCCATGCAGACTCTCTGGCTTTACTCTTCTCCAGTCCTTCCTATATTCCCAATCCCACTGCCATGGAGTCGATTCCAACTCACAGTGTTTCCAACACTGAACCTTTACAGGAGTAAGCAGCCTCCTCTTTCTCTAGTGGAGCAGTTAGTGGGGTTGAAGTATTAACTTTGTAGTTAGCAGCCCAATGCCTAATCCACAGAGCTCCTGATATACCCCAAACGGTTAAAACCCACTGTCACTATTCTGTTGTCTTCACTGTAAGTATTTTTCCAACAAGGACCTCCCCCAAGGTCTTGCCCCTCCCTCCCACCTCAGTCTGTGAGGACCCTCGGTGACACTCACCATAGGTGCCCCGCGGTGGCCGATGAGGGCAGGCTTAGGGCCCAGGTCCTTTTTCTCCATGATGCAGGGAGAGGAGATGGACAGAGGGGCCAAGTAAAGGGCCAACACCACAGCGAAGAAAGTGCAGAGAATGGCCGTCTGGGAGGCTGCAGACATGGACCATGAGGGCCGCTTGGTGAGCCACTCAGCTCCCACGGCTCTGGGAAGCTTGTGGGGTGGGATGCGGGGCCCTGCTTCCCTCCACTGGTCAGGACCCAGATGCTCTGGGACGGTGAACTGGCCTCTGACTCCCACATGCGGACATTGAGACAACTGCTGGGCAGATGAGGCTACCAGCTTCCCTGGACTCTGGGGAACAGTCTGGTCCAGAAACCCACCACCATCATCCCCAGGCCATCCAGGTGGAGTTCGGGGGTGGGGGTGGGGCGGGTAGGACAACTTGGCCTTGGAACTTGGAGGAGTCTGGGAAGGCCAGGCCCTGCCAGCCATACTTACAGGACCGTTCTGCCCGGGCAAACTGTCCAGCCACAATCCACGAGAGGGCAGTGATGGCAGCCAGGGCCCCCAAGTGCAGAAATGGTGCTGTCCCCTGTGTGAATGTGGGGAGGGGGGAGGGACCAGTGACTCCCAGCCCAGTTCAGCCACCTCTGGTCATCAATGTCTTTCTACAGAGCCCTCTCAGTGGGGTAGTTAACCCTGCCCCCATTGTTTAACTGAGCAAACTGGGAGTTTCAGGGACGCTGAGGTGTAGCACCTTCCTGGCTTCTGTGACCCTGGGTCCATCCCTGTTCTTATCTGGGCTTTGGATTGAAGAAAGAGAGCACCCTGTCTTATCTTGAGGGTCCTGGGAAAGTGGCAGCTCTCCCCGCCCCCCCATCACTTACCTGCAGGGAAATCAGCAGTACCTCCCACTCATCTTCCCACAGCTGGGCCACAGCCGACATGGCCACCACGGTGGCGACCAGGATGACCACCAGCCCTATCTGAAGGGGACAGTGACCAGAGAGAGAGTCAGAGCAGAGCCCTAGGGCAGCCTGAGGCTCCCCACCTAGTGGGTCTGAGAGAGAGGGATGAGAACCAGAGAGGAGCAGGGGAGACCAAGACACACAGGGGGAACGGCCATTCCAGAGAGACAGAGGCCTGTATTGAAGGAAAGCCAGAGACCGGCCAATGGACAGAGATGACAGATAATGTGTGTGTGTGTGTGTGTGTGTGTGTGTGTGTCAGGAGGATGCACACAGAACCAGCTAGGAAGGGGCAGCAACAGAAGCAGAAGGGAGGGTGGAAAGCAGACAGATGAAGAGGGACCTGGGCGGGGTGCAGCCATATCCCAGGGCTCAGCCGTGTGAGGATGGGAGGGAGGGGCACTATTCAGTGAATGGGGGCTCCCCTGGGCCCAACCAGTCCTACTTCAGGCTGGGAGCAAGCCAAGCGTGGGTGCAGGCCTACTCTACCCTGTGCCATGCCCATGGCTTCTTCTCAGCACCAGCCAGCTTCTAATGTGTTGTGTACGGGCTCCCAAGTCCAGCAGGGACCATGAAGCACAGCTTTGATAGAGAATGAGGTGGCACCTTCAGGGGACAGATGGGTCTAGAACATCTGCATCGCAGGATGCTCCCCCAAGTTAGGAGACCCCTGGCTTCCAGCTTTTCAGGCTCCAGGGTCTCTCACAGCCCTGGATCTCACTCTCCCCACACTGCCAGATCTGTCTGTCCAAAATACAAGTCTTACCTCAACTCCAACAGGCCAGGAAGCACTGTCCTTCCCTGCACCCACTGTCTGCCAGCAGTGCCCACCCCTCTCCCTGGGATGCCGTGCCTAGGCAGCAGCACTGTGAGACTGTGCCAACCACTGGGCATGGACAATGGAATTTCTAGACGACTGAGAGTCAGACACAGCTCTGCCTATCTTCCTCTCCTGCCATGTGGGGAAGATTAACTTTTGCCTGCAATTCAGTTTGCCTTTGGAGGTTCTCAGCCTGAAAATGAATGTACCAATAAGAAAACAGTAACAAGGCTTTATGAGCTCTGACATGCCAGCCTTGGGGACAAGGGGAGGGAAGAAAGCACAGTTTTACCAAGGGCCCATGTGTGCCCAGGCCTGTGTGAAACACTGTTATCCTACCATTTGCTCTTACAACAGCCCAGATGAGATCTTACTGTCTTCATTTTACATTCAGGGACATCAAGCACAGAGAGGTTAAGGACTGGCTTGGTCACCACAGCTTTTGTTGAGAATATACACAGCAAACATACACCAATTCAACAATGTCTGCATGCACAGTTCAGTGACACTGATCACAGTCTTCAAGTGGTACAACCATTCTCACTTTCCTTTTCTGAATTGTTCCTCCTCCATTACATCACCTCACTGCCCCTAAATTTCCTATCTCATCTAAAAATGGTTGTGGTCATTTTGCTCCCCTATAGATAGTTTGGTCTCCTATTGAATGATGAAGAAAGCATCAAGAGAAGATGGAAGGAATACACAGAGGCACTGTACCAAAAGAAAATGGTTGATGTTCAACCGTTTCAAGAGGTAGTATATGATCAAGAGCCAATGATACTGAAGGAGGAAGTCCAAGGTGCATTGAAGGAATTGGCAAAGAACAAGGCACCAGGAATT